TATAAACTTTTATATGATTTTGAAGTGAAGCTCTATAAAAAAATTCCTTTATACAATTTGAATATTTAAAAGGCTTTTTTTTTTAAAATATACAATAATTGTGATAATTAAAAGTTAAATATATTTAATTATTAACTAGAAGAATCTGATAATAATAGTACTCTAATATCTAACCAGTGTATTTCTAATTTTTGCAGAACTGTAAAAGCTAAATACATGGCAAGCAACAATATAGAAGACTTATATAAGGTTTATGTTACAATGTCTCCCACACTTTATAATCTATTTATTTGCTTCAATCGATTTTTATATTTTAAAACTCTTCTCCAATCCAAGCTCCTCAAACAATCAATTTCTTCTTTTTATATTTATTTAAAATTAGCTTGTGAGGCAAACTCTATAAATAAATTGTTATATCAGTTAAAACAAACTACAGTGAAGCTTATATTTATATACTAGAAGAGCCTTGTTCTCTACCAGATCATGTTATCATATCTTACTTTGAGACTATCTATCTCAATTCTTTTATCTTTCTTAAATCATATACTTATAACTCTTATAATAATATTTCATTTTCTCTTAATTTAAATATTTGGGATTTTAACAAAAATTTTAAACAGCAAGTCTGAGAATATTACTATCTTTCTAATAATCTTGATATTATTTGTTTAACTAAAACCAAACTAGCTAGCAACAGGCTTACTTTAAAACCTCTCAAAATATCACACTATATCTATTTTTAATCCTATACAAATAGCTCAAAAACTAGAATTTTTATTATAATTTGTAACTTTTTAACTTCTCATATATACAATACTAAATCTATTTCTAGCTATGCTATTTTAATCAATCTTTTCTTCAAACATAACTTCAAATTTTGTATTATCTCAACTTACCTTCTTTGTGACAATAGCTCTTTTAGACTTGAAACCCAGAACACAATTATTCAATAGATACAAAAAGCCTATATTCTTAATATACAGTACTCTCTATAGTACTTAAAGATTTCAATGCCACTACTAATAACATTCACACTTTTTTTATTAAATACAAACTTCTCCAATTTTTTACATATAACAATATATATAATCTTGTCTTATACTTGGTATAATTATAAATCTAGTAGTGAAATTGACTTTATTTGGACCTGCTATACTATTTTAACTTATCTTACTTCCTTTGATATTGATAATACAGATACAAACTCACTAAGTGATTACAAAATTCTTATTTCATATTGGACTTTTCTATATACTCTGCATAGACAATACAGACATAAAACACGCACTCATAGAGGAGTTTTTAATTACAAGGCTATAAACAATACAAAATAGAAAGAATTCTTAAACCAAGTTAGCACTAATCTTAATTCTAATTATACATCTTCTTTATTTTATACTTCAGAATCTCTTGAAACTATTTGGTATAAAATTTATACTAGTATATAATAATTACGACTACTCTAAAATATATTTCTAACAAAAAATTTACTGTTTGCAATTTTTAATATACATTCTCTTCTAAGGCTACTCACCTTTATTCAAACTTTAAAAATCTTGACAACATTATTTAACAAACTAAACATGCTTTAAAACACCAGTTATTTATTCCATATTATCTTAATATCTTTATCTCTTCACTTAATCAATTCTCTGAGTTACATATTTCTCCACTTCCAAATTTATACTAATTTCTTACTTCTTGAATTACTAATATTAACTTAGAGTAAAAAAATCGTTTCCATACTTATAACATGAAAAACATTAAAAAAATCAGACAACAAATTTCTGATGCTATCAACAAAAGATGTTCTAAACTTCAAACTTATCTCACTTCAATAATTAATAGTATTCTTAATTGCCACAAAGATCCAGTTAAATTTAACAATATCTGACTAAATAATATTATTATTACTGACTCTTTAACAATTAAATCTTATATTCAACAACACTTCAAAAACTGGACTGCTATCTGACATATCAACTTTGATATTTTCAATTCTCAATGGCAAGCAGAATATAATCCTAAACTCAACATCAATCCTATATAGTATTCTAATACTCTTACTAACTTAACTAAAGATAAAATTATATTAACTATTAATCAATTTTTTAACAATAAAGCTTGTAGCCTATTTGGCATCAGCTATAAAATATTAAAACATGCTGGCTTTAACTTTATTACTACTATAATATCTTTTTTTAATCATTGTCTTCTTTCTCAAACCATATCTAAATAATGGAAAAAAGGACATATCTTTTCTATTTATAAAAACCTAACTACTTATCTAATACCAGACCTATTAGCCTAATAGAAAATATCAAAAAGCTATATACTAAACTTCTTACCAACCATCTTAATCTTACTCTATCTTAATATAATATTCTATTACTATTTAACTTTGTTGCACTTCCTGGTAACTTCACTTTTATATCTATTTATATCCTTAATAATATAATAGAAGATACAAACTGTAATTCAAACCAACTCTAGCTCCTTTTTTGGAATATAAGCAAAGCCTATAACTTAGTCAACTTTGATTTATTTCAAAATTCTTTATACTAAATCCAAATGTCTCAACAGCTTATTAATATTTTAATTAATCTTTTATTTAATTACATAAACTATGTTATCACTAATCTTGGTTTTACAAATTTTTATTTAGTTAAAAATAGTATTGATCAAAGTGAAGCTATTACCCTTTATTTTGAAAAATTTATTATGATTCTCTTATTTCCAATGTCTCTATACACTTTTCTGAATACACACTCTCTACTTCTTATCAAACTAGCCTTATTCACTTCTTTACAAATTATCTTAATATATCTATTTCAGTTTTCACTTACATGAATAACATATTATAAATTGTCTAATTCAAAACACAACTCATAAAAATTACTAAAACTGCCTCCTTCTTTAAAAATAAGAGGAATATAAGAAACTTTTTTATTTCAAAAATAAGCTACTTCTGATAATTTTTTAAAATCTGGAAGTAGTTTCTATATAAAAGTCAAAATTCTACTAAGTAAATTAATAAAAATCACTTAATAGAAGTTGTTTAAAATATAAAAATACATATATTTAAAAGTTTCAAGCAAATTGGAAAACTTTTACTATTTATATTCAAACGTAAAATGCAAAGACTCTTAGTAAAAAGGTTTCTGATTTGCTCGAAACTTTTAAAATATATATATTTTTATATTCTGAACAACTTCTATTAAGTGACTTTTATCAATTTACTTAGTAAAATTTTTTGACTTTTATATATAAAAACTACTTCCAGATTTTAAAAAATAATAAAAAATTAACTTGTATTTGAAAATAAGCTATCTCTATGATTTTTGTATCACTTTTTTGTCTAAAAAAGGTAGCTTATTTTCAGAAATACAGTTGACTCTAGTTATACCTAATCTTCTTATACAACAATCAGGATATAGCAAACCAGATTATGCAGAACAGATTTTTTATAATAATTTAGGCTAACTATACCAAACTTAAATAATATTGTAATAGAGTGGTATTTTCACGTATAACATCATAGTGGTCACATGATCTCGTGTACTACATATGGCCACTACTAAGTTATTTTTTCTTAGTATAGATTTTTCTTTATTTATTTATTTGCTATTTATTATTTTTATTATGCATAATTCGTTATGCATACAATTGTTATACATAAATCATTATACATAAAATTGTTTTGTATAACAGGGCCAGTAAACAGTTTAAAGATTTATTTAGAATAGTAGTTATTCATAGAAGAATTATAAAAGAGATATAAATTGGTCTTTTAAAGAGACATGATCCACTATCATGTTCTAAAACTATCTAAATAAAAGTTTTTTCATCTTGTAATTTCTTTTAACAAAGACCTAAACCCATCCATAACCGACTATTTCAGTTACATTTGGCGACAACGACAGGATCAGGTCATCTATTTGAAGAAATTCAAGCCCGAAGAGAGCTGTTTCGTATCGATGCCCCTTCTATATATGTGTCTATATTTTATGTTTTGTCCTATCTATATGCCCTGCACATTAGTAGAATAAATATTAAAGAAACGAAAAACAAAACATATATCATGAAAAAGGATACGCTGCTTCTCTAAGTTTTTGTTTAATTCTGCATAGTCCTTCATGTCAAGATTTCAATTAACTCAAATTCAGACCTCTTAAGTTAAATTTCACATAGACCAAATCATTCGACCCAAAGCTCTAAAAACTCCATGTCTTTTCTTACATAGTTCATCCACGTTCCCAACTCGGTCCCATTGTTGCTTTATATTATTCTATATAATGCATACCGACAAGAGCAAAAAAAAAAAAAACACACAAGGCATAAACGAAAAGGATACACTGATATTATAAACACCCTGCCTTATATGCAACTTAGCATAGTCCTTTGTATTCTGTTCCAAATTCTTTTTTTTTTTTCTTGCCCAATTTGTCTTCGATGCTACACGCAGTATGAAATCCCTTAAGTTCGAATTTTCAACCCAGTTCGAATCTACCTGCCCAATTAGAAATAATCGACTAGTGAAAGAGTTAGAGAACAAATAAAGCGGTGATAAAACAACTCAATACCCACTTTCAGTTCCCGGTAGTTCTATAGTCTTCTATATTTAATTTATAATTTCATCCAGTTCTCGATTCGCCTACAATTGCCTATAATAACCTGTGTATATCTAAGGGTGAAGTAATTAGAGTATAGCGTTTTCTTAACTTGAGGAGCCCTTCGCTTAAGAATTCACCCGACAACCTCATACGCATATAACCTAGTTAAAAAAAAAAAAAAAAAAAGACAAAGCACACGTCCTTATGCTGACCCAAATTTCAAATGATTATGAATGCAAGAAGTTCTGTTTATAGTAATCTCATGATGGAAATTATAATAATTCAAATGTAATTAAAATAAAAAATAAAAACGGTCAAGAAAGAAAATGAACAGACAGGTGTGGAAATAAAAAAATAAAAAAAAACTCCGGGAAGATATACTTAGCTTCACATAATTGTCACATTTCGGAAGAACTCCAAGTTCAAGAAATTTCCACTAGCAAGAAAAGGATTCCAAGCAAGCTTATAAGACCTCAAAGCCCAATGACATTGTACTTCAGAATTCTCGGCCACGTCTGTAAGAAAAGATCTTGAATCCCGAAGAAAAAGAACCTAGAGACTTAAAAATACTCAAAAGAAAGACAATTACGCCAGACAACTAGGCAGGTAAAGAAAAGGCCAACAACGAACTCTTACCTGAGAAATCGAAAAGAAACTGGTAACAAAAGTCCAAAAATAAAAACTGAAAAAAGAGGCCTGAGAAAATCTTTAGCTTCGGAAAAGAAAGTCCAAGCAAGTTAAGGACTAAAGGCTGGAAAATCCAAATTTGAAACTAGAAGGGACTAGATCTGGGAATGGAGATGGAAGCATAAATATAAAAAAATATTTTGCTAAAAAAAAAAAAAAAAAATTTTAGTAGAAACCAAAGATTAAAACATACGAAAGTCATAAAACACACAAGAACAGTAAGATCTTAACCGAGATCTCTCTCAAGACATATTCGAAAATAAGATCCTAAATCAGTCCATTCGCCATAGAAGTGCCTTTGTGAAGCCAGGGCCAAAAAAAATCACTGAAAGAAAACTTGAAACGATGTAGAAACGAACGTAAAAGCTGAAAAGACTAAGAAAGGAATGGAAAAAGAGAAAGTAAAAGTGCAAAAAAAAAAAAAAGGAAAGCGAAATAAAAGAAAAAGAAATTTAGAAAATGGTAGTAGATAAGTGGATCATTAACCAACAATAATCTGACGATCACGTGGGTGACATCAGTCGAAACGAAAGAAATACCACCTGATTTTGGTATAGCCCTAGAGGATTTATAAGTTGATTTGGCCCTAAGAATAAATAAATAATTAACGACGCAATAAATACTCCTAATTCCAAATGTGAGGTTTTTAAAATAAATTTTTAGACATTAGATGATTTTTTTTTTTTAGTTATATATATTTTTTTTTATGTTTTATTTTTATTTTTTTTTCTCTTTAGTTGTTATTTTGAACAGTTTATTTTTTTTAGTTTTTGATAAGTTGTTTTTGTTTAAGAATGTATTTGTTTTGTAAGGTGTAATGATAAAGCCTAGTCTGGCGAGGAATAAGACCTGCGTGTGGAGTTTTGACTGATAAATGCAGATTTGCTACATGAGGCAGCATTAAGATAATAACATAGATTCGCTGAAGGAGGCAATATTATGGCAATAGTGCAATACAGAATCACCAAAAGAGGCAGTATTGGCTATTGGCTATTGAAACTTTATTTTTCTTTAATAGGCACAGATAAAGTTTGGCTATAGATTAGCTATGGATAAGTTTTTGGTTGTGGGGTTATTCTGTTTAAAATCCCTGTTTCTGGTTACGGATACACCAAGGAACCTAAAACCTCTGAATAGAATTAGTTTATTTTTTTATTTTATTTTTTTATATAGAAGTTTAGAATTTCATAATTACTGGTTAATTATGCTCGGAGGACCTCACATTTTTAAAGGAAGGGAAAGTATAACAGAGTAGTATTTTTGCATATAACATTACAGTGGTCACGTGATCCCACGTACTACATATGGCCACTACTAAGTTATTTTTTTTTAGTATAGATTTTTCTTTATTTATTTATTTGCTATTTATTATTTTCGTTATGCATAAATTCGTTATGCATAATTTGTTATGCATACGATCGTTATGTATAAATTGTTATGCATAAAATTGTTTTGCATAACAGGGCTAGTAAACAGTTTAAAGATTTATTTAGAATAGTAGTTATTCATAGAAGAATTATAAAAGAGATGTAAATTGGTCTCTTAAAGAGACATGATCCACTATTATGTCCTAAAACTTTCTAAATAAAAGCCTCTTCGTCTTGTAATTTCTTCTAACAAAGACCTAAACCCACCCATAACTGACTATTTCAGTTACAATATACTGCATCTGAACTTATTTTAATCAGCCCAGAACTATATATATATATATATAATTCGATATAATGATATATAGTCATGAGATTCAAAATATTCTGAGAAGAAAATGAATGAACTTAAAGATAAGAAAAAATTTTTTGCAAAATTCTGAGATTTTCTGAAACAGACTAGTTATAAGTATAATTTAGTTCTATATACCAAACTGTGGTATAGAGAAAGTAAATTATATAATAAATTTACTCTATACCAAACAAAATCTTCCAGAACATACAGTTTGGTATATTCAGAGTTGACTGTATATGATACTCTATGGCTGATATTCAAGTCAATTTTACCAAATTTATATTTATTACTACAGAACCTTTTCTAATCTCTCATTTCTTAATTCTAACCTGCAATTTATTTTACCCCATCAACTTTTAAATTTTTAAAATGCTAATTTACTCTTAATAACAAACAGTTCTCCCAAATTAAACTAATTCAAGATGAGGCTATTTAGCTAGCCAATATTGCTAGCACTAAAAATATAACTGACAAACAAATTACTTATATTATTAATACTGTTATTATTCTAACTACTAAATATCAGCTTCACAATATTGTAATTTCTTTATACAAATATAACCAAATCTTAAGCAAATATCTTACTATAGCTAAATACAAAGCATATCTCTCTTGGTCTACTCCTTATAGCACACTCCTTAACCACAATCTTTATAATATTTACAATATCTAGAATATACAACTACAACACCATGCCTTAGTTGTATATTCTTTGGCTACTTCGATAGTATGACTAGGGGAAGATTTTAGAATGAGATCTGGAAAAAAGAACAAGTACGAAACAGAACACAGGAACACCAACTTTAAAATACCAATATATAATACTGGAAGTAGTACAATATATACTCCAAAAAACTTGGTTGGAAGTTTCGACGCCCATAACCTGTGAGACCTACCAATTAGAGGAGTATCTGTTATTAAATCCTGCATACATATTATTAACACTATACGTAATAAGGAAGGTTGTGCTTGAGATACGAACTGGGTTACGGCAGCATTACAAATAATAGCTTGAGATACGAACTCAGTAATGGCAGACAACATGTACTACACCAATCTGGAAGTAGCTGTGAGGTTACGCTTGCCTAATGCCTCCTAGTGGGATCTGTAATGGATACCGCACTAGAACTATATTGGGAGTATAAGGTTATTAGTATAAGAAATATAGAGAATATATTAGGGTTAGAATAGGATATTTAGTTAGTAGTATACAAAATCCAGGTAATACATAATGGACAGCTCTGGTAGGTATAGATCGTAGATAATTAGTCTAAGCCACTGTTCTATTAATTGTTGTATAAATGTATATAATTGATATATATATATACTTAATAAATAACATGAGGCAAGATCTCACCTTAAAAAAAAAAAAAAAACAACTACAACACTATATTAGCAACTTTCTTAATTGGATTAACAACTCTTTTACTCTTGGCACTATAATACATATTTGATTTCAACAACTTCAAAACAACCTCTAGTTTATAACTAATATTCTCTAACACTTTTATCCTACTATAAATGGCTTTAATAAACACACCACTACTCTAAAAATTATACAACTCTTTAATTATTTATATATCTTTATATATGCATACTCAGACTTTTTTTGGCTCAAAACTATAAATGATAGCAATATTCTACTTGAAAATATTCTTTCTAATCACTTTAAATATAATACTTTTAAACAACAACTTAGGTACAAAAATATCTTATTTCTAGAGCAACTTTGTTTAACAGACAACAAGACCTTGTTAGACTAGCTATACTTATTACCTAGAATCTTATACATTCCCAAAAGCAAAAAACTACTTTGGTTTAACTACTTAAAAAATACTATTTTTGAAAATAATTTATCTCATACTATTTTATCTTATTTTCAGCCTAAAGGCTCTAATTCTTTTGTATATCAAACCAACCTTATTTCTAAAACTTACAAACCTTGGGTTTTATCTTATTGTAATAAGCATATTGTAATTGGCCAAGTTCACAAACAAATACTATCTCTATAATATACTGGTAACATAATATTGACACTTCTATCTCTAATCATTATCTACTACCTCCTATTTTTTGCACATTTTGTCAATTCTGTAATTTTAACTCTAATTGTATTTCTAGCTATTGTATTTTAGAAGTATCTGCTATTCTTTTTACTTAGTTCTTGGGAAGGAAAAAGCTAACAACTTAATCTTAATGCAAATTATATTGATCTTATATATTCTACTAATATCAAATATCCTCTGAAATACTACTATCATCCTTAATTAATATTATTGACTCTTCTATATTTAGCATTTTCTATAACAATAAAGCCTTTTTTTAGCTTATTCAGAATATGTTAGCCAACTCATCTCAACATAAATTTACCTTTTATACTGATGGATCTAAAAACAACTTGGTACTAACTAATGCTCTATGAATATTGGCTAGGTTCAAATTACAACAATTTAGTTATATTGAAAAATTTTTTTTATTGCAGTTCTGTACAGATTTTCAAATAAAATTTATACTATAAATGCAAAAATTAGATGCAATTCTGTGCAAAACTTTAAATTCTAAAAAATTTTGCAAATTTTTTACAATTCTTCAAAAATCTGCAAAAATCCAGATTTTTGCAAATTTGCACTTATTTAATTTTCTTAATATATGCAAAATTTTTTTGTTCAAATCTCTAATTAGCCCTCTTCCTATAAAGCTAAACTATTATCAATATTGTCTGTTATCTCTGCAATCCCATATAACTCTAGCCTACAAATCTATACTAATTTATAGTCAATTATATCTAAATATAATAAACTTCTTATCTTATCTTTTTATTTTATCAAATACTTTAAATTTAACTTCTGGCTTATTTGGCATACACTTCTTAATATCTTAAAAACCTTTAATATTCAACTCTACTTTTTCAAAGTTCAAGCTTACTCTAATGACACTTTTAACAATCTTGCAAATTTACTTGCAAATAATCATTTTACTTTCTTAATATTATCTTTTAACTATACTAATTTCTATAACCTCTACTTTATTTTATTATAGAAAAATAACTTTATTAATAGCTTTTTGAGACAATTCACTAAACAAATATGCAATGCATATAATATAGCTCATATAGTTCTCACAAAACTGTGCTCTAAAATAGTCACACTTTTCTTATCTAATTGATTAGAATGCTTCTTGGCTATACTTCAATAATGATCAAAAAACTTTATATAATTTCACTCAGAGATAGGTTATAACCAGATCATAAGCCTATAATCAAATAACTGCTAGTCATATAGTCATATGACTGGTGGTTATATTATTTTTAGATCACTTTAGATCATATAATTTTATTCAATAAAATTGCATGATTTTTGTACAACATTAGAGATGCAAACTGTTTGCTAATCCTAATAGTT